CATTGGTATTTGGCCTGCATGTATCTCTGTGTGAGGGAGTTTGATCACTGAAACTTAAGTTACAGGTAGCTGTGAGCTGCACTTGAGTGCTGGGAATTGAACCGTGGTCCTCTGGAAGAGGCAGTCAGTGCTCTTAACCACTGAGCTGTCTCCCTAGCCCCTGGAGTGGGTTTCAAATGTGCTCATTGTTGAAAACTTTAACAATTTTATGTACCTAGGTGTTTTGCCTACATGCATGCCTGTGCACTACATGTGTGCCTGGTGCCTATAGAGGTCAGAAGAGGCCTCATATCCCCAAGACCGGATTACAGGTGGCTGTGAGCCACTGTGTGGGTGCTAGGAATTAAGCCCAGGTCCTCTGGAAGAGCAGCCAGTGTTTTTAACCACTGAACGGTTACTCCAGCCCACCCGTTCGTCTTCTCAGACAGTGTGGCTGTTTATATTCTCCAGACAACAGGAATAAACTACAAACTTCTTTGGTTTGTTTATTGCAAATGTTTCCGTGTCATCTGTAACCGGGTGACCTCTGAGAAGACCCTTGCTAAGCCTCAATTTCCTTGCCTGTAAAATGAGGATAAGAATAGTGTTCACCTCACACAGCTAGGTCACGAGGACTCCTGAGATGCCACACTCGGGTGCCCAGCACTGTGCCAGGGCCTGAGCAGGCCCCGGAAAATTTCCTGATTATTAGTTATAGACACCAGCAGCTGCTTGTCAGTGTCAGCTGCCGTTCTGAGTTTTGTTAGCCACTGTTAGTATTAATGAGCATTGTAGTTGTCCTTATTAGTTACTGTGATTATTTTAGTAGATCTAGGACTATTCTCATTACATATTAGAAGAACCGTCTAAAACCAAGGAGCTAGAGCACTCCTGCCTTACCATGAAGAGAGCGAACGCAGCACCACACAGTTGTGCTGCCGAGTGTTCAGGAACAGGGAATTTCACCCAACAGCCACTTGACAGGAAAACTGTGGCGGCTACCGTGTTTCTGCTCCCGTGTGTTGGGTGGTCTGCGAAGACCACATGTTTAGAAAATGAATCCGGCTCAACAGAAAAAATAGCCAACAATCTCATCGACGGGAATGGAATGCATGTTATACGTCAGCATTATAACAATGTCATTCAAAGACCTGGGTCACATAGTACCACGCTTGTGAGGACTTTGGCCTGAGGGGGGAGGGTAGGTGTCTTCTCTGCAGTGAAGCACGGGGACAAGGAGCAGAGAGAGGCTAGATAGCCTTTCCTTCTTCAAGGCTTTCGTTCCCTGCAGGGGCCACCTGTAAGACCTCCTAGGCTTCTCAGCCCCTTCTCCCACTAGATTGGTGGTGTAAATGTGATAGGAAAAGTGGGCCTCTCTCTGTGTGGGCGTGTGTCTATGTGTGTGTGTCTGAGTGTGGTGTATGAGCATGGCTACGCGTGAGTGCATGTATGCATGTATCTGCGTACACATGCAGAGGCCAGAGGAGGATGTCCAGTGTCCTGCTCTATCACTACCCGCCTTATCACGTGAGACAGGATCTCTCGCTAAGCCTGGAACTAGGCTAGCAGCCTGCAAGCCCCGGAAGTCACCCCACAGACTGCAGTTACATGTAAGCCTGTGGCTACACCCACTTTCTTACGCAGGTTCTTGTTGTGAGCTCATACTTGTGCAGCAAGCACTCACCCGCTGAGCTGTCACCCCCCCCCAAAAAAAAAGAAAAGTGAATTATTTTGATCTGGGTGGCAGTCTTGGAAACCCCAGCAATTCATTGGAAACTTGTTGTTCCTTTAAAATGGTGATGAGAGCGTGTATGTGGCAAACCAGGCATGATGGCGCACACCTGTAATCCCAGCACGTAGGAGGCCAGAGCAGAAAGAGCGTGCGTTTGCAGCCAGCCTGGACCACGTAGCTAGATCTAGGACAGCCTGGACAGTGTATTGAGACTCTGTGCCTAGCAGCACCCCAACAGTGAGACCCCACCTGCTAGCATGGTCAGCCTGACTGGAAAAGGACGGTGAGTTCTGGGTGCCCAGCACTGCAGGTTCTTGGGCAGACCGCATCACACAGACCGCATCACCTGCCACACATGGTCTCACTCAGTTGTCACCCCAGAAGGAAGATGAAGGAATCAGAGCCCTAAGCCCTTGCTCGAGAGCAGCCTTGGAGCTAGGACAAAGGTCATCTGTGACTTCTGCCCAGCAGGCTCCACACTACAGTATGGTGACCTCAGCTGGAAAATCTCCTCACTGTACCGGACAATGAACAAGAGGTGTCAAGTGAAGGGATCTGGGAGGTGTGGCTGTGGATTCTCAGACACACTGGGGTGGCCAGCAGTGGCTGGGTGACCACAGGACAGACAAAGCTTGTTGTGGGCATAGAGAAAGAGCTCTCCTAGCCTCCACCGAGGTGCCTGAGGCTCTAAACAGGGACAGGGACCCCAGGGAACTGCAGATCCTGCAGATTTGTCCTTTAGGACAGCCAGCCAGTGTGGAAGCAGCAGGGCCTTTGGCGACGGAGAAGGGACCTAGGGAAGGTGTGGAGTGAGTCTTTAGGTGCACTGCTCTCTCTGTCGTGAAGGGGAGGAGTCCTCTAAAGGCTGGTGCTGTGTGCATGGGGTCAGCTCAGGATGCTACCTGGAGAAGAGCAGCTCTTTGTGAGGAAGACACAATGAGAGTACTTGAGCAAGGGCCCACAGGGGGGGGACGAGGTGGGTGAGGGTACCCACAAGAGAGGAAGGGCACCTGCCTCCTCCTTGTTCCTCTGGGCTTGACTCTAGAACTCTTCCTTCTCTCAAAGTCCCAGGCCAGGCCAACCTCACTTGTTCCAGTCAATCTGAGGAGCCTATTTTAAGTGGTCCTTGGTGAGTCCGAGGGCAGACAGATTTCTTCTGTTTCCTTTCTGGGGGGCAGGTACTGAGAATAGCATTTAGCATAGTATCATGCTTGTGCCGGGACCAACAGCTCCATTTCTTCTCTATTGATCCTTTCTCACAGAAAGGTGTGATTTTATTGTTTTCTTTGTTTTGTGCTATATACAGTACAGCTAAAGAAAATAACTGATACATAAACATCAGCCAATCACACTTCAAAACCAGCTATGATATTATAATACAGTAATGATCATTTTTCTCCGCTCTTAACCAGATTAGGAAGAAACAGCAAGAAGTGGTGGGCTTTTTGGAAGCCAATAAAATAGACTTTAAGGAACTGGACATCGCCGGGGATGAAGACAACAGGAAGTGGATGAGAGAGAACGTGCCCGGGGAGAAGAAGCCTCAGAATGGGATTCCTTTGCCGCCTCAGATCTTCAATGAAGAGCACTATTGTGGGGTGAGTATTCAGCGCTGTGGTAATGTCTTCTGTGTGTTGTTAATTAATGTGGTTTGCAAGTCTGTGTGCCCACGCATATGTGTGGGTGTGTGATGTTGGCCAGAGGTTGACACTGGGTGTCTTCTCCAATCACTTTCTGCTTTGTGTTTTGAGACAGGGTCTCTCGCTCGACCTGGGGCTCCTTGATTCAGCTCGGCTGGCAGGGTATAGGAGTCAGTCCATTTCTGCCCCCTTCCCAGCACCAGGTTGACAGACACATGCTGTTGGGCTCCACTTCTCCATGGGCGCTGAGGACCCAAACTCAGTGCCCCGTGCTGGCACAGCAGGCATTTTATCCACTGACCCATCTTGTCAGCCCGTTGACCAGAAGTTGTTTCAAGTAGATTAGTTTTGAGTCACTGAAATCGTTCTGGCCTGTCAGGTCATTATCTCTTTATTCTAGCCAACCAAAATTTAATAGTGAGAAGATGGTGGAATCAGTTGCACAGTGACCTGGTGTGGAACAATTCTGTATCTGTCAATTATGTTTTAAATAAACGCTGATGGATTAATTATCAGTTGACAAAACAAGCAGAGAGGACGTTTCATGCTTGATAAGGGGACTGGGCTCAGAACATATACCAGCCCCCAAGTGTAGGATAGTTTTAAATATTCCATTTCTTTGCTTCCAGGATTTTGACTCTTTCTTCTCTGCAAAAGAAGAAAATATTATTTATTCATTCCTTGGTTTGGCTCCTCCTCCAGGGTCAGAGGTAAGCTGGGATGCCCTGCATGGTCCAGTACAGGCTATAATAGAAGGAGATAGAAACTGGCAAACACTAGTGCTCATCAATGACGCAGAATGCGTCATAAATTTACATGTCACTGTTCTATGGGGCTTTGCCTATCTCTATACCAGTTCAGTGTGTGTGTGCGCGCGCATGCGTCACATGCGTGCATGCCTGTGTGCACACGTGTGTCTTTTGGTCGTGGTGTGTCATCTCAGCAATAGAAACCCTGAGTAGGACAGATAGGAAATGAGGCAACACTGTAACTCCCCAAGGCCACCCTAGTGGTGTAATGTACTTCCTCCAGCAAGGCTGCACCTCCTAAAGGCTCCATAACTTCCCCAAGGCCACCCTAGTGATGTAATGTACTTCCTCCAGCAAGGCTGCACCTCCTAAAGGCTCCATAACTTCCCCAAGGCCACCCTAGAGATGTAATGTACTTCCTCCAGCAAGGCTCCATCTCCTAAAGGCTCCATAACCTCCCCAAGGCCCCCCTAGTGGTGTAATGTACTTCCTCCAGCAAGGCTCCATCTCCTAAAGGCTCCATAACCTCCCCAAGGCCACCCTAGTGGTGTAATGTACTTCCTCCAGCAAGGCTGCACCTCCTAAAGTCTCCATAACCTCCCCAAAGAGTGCCACCAAGGAGGACCAAGAGTTCAAACACAGGAGTGTATGGGGGACATTTCTCATTCAGAACACCGCATGGACATTGACTTTAAATTTAAAAAAAATCATGTTCAGGATGGAGCCTAGGACTCATTCATACTAGGCAAATGCTGTTTTATGAGCTATAATCACAGCCCCAACCTGTTATTTTATATCATATATAAAATTAGATTATAGATCTATTAAAGGTCTAGATATTAATAACTACGAAAGCACAGAACTATTAAGACAAATATATCTTTACAAAAAGTTAAAATTGTGCTCACTTTGGGAGCACATATACTAAAATCTAAATAATACAGAGATTAGCACGGCCCCTGCTCAAGGATGACACACAAACTCATGAAGTGTTCCCAGGTCAGCTGGTCTCAAAGACCCATCCAGAATTAGAAATAACTCAAGGAAAGCGGTCAGGATACAGATAAAATCATCTGAGCAGACAGTGTAAGTGATTCAAAGTATGCCCTTGCTTTCTAGGGACCAAGGAGATATAAATAAAGAGGAAGATGGAACTCCGTTTCCCCCGAACACACTCACAATCATTAAAAAGCACAGCTGTGTTAATTGGCCACAAGGCTAAAGAGAAGGAGGATATTCATATATTACAGAGGGATCTGAATCATCCTACCTTTGGAAAAGGAGCCTGATAAAAATATCCCCACCATTTTAGTCAGAGAGTCATAAACATGGGGCCACGCTGACTATCTACCATTTAGAACATATCTGAATAAATTATCATAGTCTTAATGTTGAGCAGATGTTACAAAGAATAAATTAGAATGATAGGGTTATATATACATATATATATTAAAGATTAATTGTCAAATGAGGGTGTCAACAGAAGGTGAGTTTGAAGAATGTTTGTCCTGAAGATAACCTAATGATAGCTTTAAAAAGCTGAGGACCTTTTAATGAGTTAGACTGTCATGTGGGGGAGCTAATATGGCTCTGTGTTGACAGAGGTTTCTCTCCCACCCAGTCCTGAAGCCGTTCACTCCCAAAGAAACATACATAAACATATATAAACTGATTGGCCTATTAGCTCAGGCTTCTTATTAACTAACGCTTACATCTTAAATTAACCCATAATTCTTGTCTGTGTTAGCCACATGGCTTGGTACCTTTTATCACTGAGGCATTCTCATCTTGCCTCTTCTGCCTCTGGGTGACAACTGCAGACTATGCTTTTCCTCTTCCCAGAATTCTCCTGTTCTAGGCACCCTGCCTATACTTACTGCCTGGCTATTGGCCAATCAGCATTTTATTAAACCAATAAAAGTGACAAATCTTTACAGGGTACAAGACCATTGTTACACAGAGCACAAGCTCTGCCCCAAGCTTGTGCTAAGATGCTTTCTGCTTTCATGCTCTCAAAATTATTTTAATTTTATTTTAAGTGTATGGGTGTTTTGCCTGCATATATGTTTGTATGTAAAGTACGTACCTGGTGCCTGCAGAGTCCAGAAGAGACATTGGATCCCTGGAATTGGAGTTATGGATGGCTGTGAGCTGCCATGAGTGTGCTGGAAACTGAACCCGTGTCTTCTGCAAGAGTAGCCAGCATTCTTAACCCCTGGGTCATCTCCCCAGCCACAGGGGTTAAGTTCTTATTATTGCAGCATGGGTGGCAATGGCTTTGTCCCTATGTGGGCCCCACTGTTGCTGCGGATAAAATAAAGGCCAAAGATAAGAACAATTCAGTTAGTTGATGAGAGAGGGGGAGTTGATTGGGGGAGGGGGAGGGATATGGGAGGCGGTGGTGGGGAAGAGACAGAAATCTTAAATAAATAAATAAATAAATAAATAAATAAATAAGACACGGAAATGTGAGTGTCTGAAGAGAATCTCAGGTGTTTCAACTATTTTCATAGGTGACAAAGCCCGAGGAAGCTTCTTCCCTTCCCAATGGAGATGTGGCAGGAGAGGCAGAAGGTGCTGCAGAGGTAAGACTGGTGCTGCCAGTGTCTTCAGGGTGGCTGCGTGGGTCTAACATTGCTTTCACTTCTCTCTCTCTCTCTCTGAACTATCTATTCATCTATCTATATACCCAACTATCATTCATTTATTATCTATCTATCTATCTATCTATCTATCTATCATCTATCTTCCATCTACCTACTATCTATACCTTATTTATTCATATACCTATCATCATTATTTTCTATTATCTCTTTTATCTGTTATCCATCTATCCATCCACCCACCCATCCATCCACCCACCCATCCAGTTTACCTGTGTACTGTCTACTGTATTCATCTATATCCATCCATCTCTGCATCTGCCACCTTCACCAGCCTTAAATGGGTGACTCAGCATCCTTCACTCAGAAGTTTATGGCTGCAGCATGCAGGAGTTTGTTAGAGGTTTGGGGGTTTGGGGAGCTGTGTCAGTATCTAAATGACCTTGTGTAGAGGAGGTCTCTTACAGGCCAGGACTGAGAGGGAGAAGCCACAGCAGGGGTGGCTTGCTTTGTCCTTGGGTGCTTCCTGAAGGTCATATTCTTGAGATTCTTTTCTAAACAGGGAACAGAGAAGGCTGAGGAAAGTGGAGAAAATGAGGCACAGAAAGAGGACAGCGAAGACACTGGCGACCTTTCTGAATCCCAAGAGAAGAACGTGAGTGTTTGCTCTGTCACTGCAGGTTTGTTGCTTCTGTCCCTTACTGAGCTCCCGCATGGTGCCAGGAATTGTGCTGGGCTCACAGCTGTGAGAGAGAAAGGGCACGCTGAGGGTGTAGCTGTGAGGGGCCAGCTGTTCTCATTCCTGCTTTAACTGCTGTGGACCTGGCGCTGAGGGGGCCAGAGGGAGGACCTGAGCCAGACTTGGTGGGAAATGATCAGTGGAGGCTACCGATTCCTCATGAACCCAGGGAGAAGACATATTCATTCATATTCCAAGCTCTTGCTTAGACACAGGTCCTTACTCCTTGCCTGAGTGATAGCTAACTCTGACATGTAGCTTCCTGTGGGCCTCCTGTGGGAAAGAGCCAGGGCATTTGAGTGTTAGCAAAACATAAGTGGGAACGTGAGGACTGGAGCCCAGCATTGGGAAGGAAACTCACTGAGTCCAGTGTTCATGTGACCAACAGGTCCCAGCGAGTCTCTGTGCCGCATGGTCCCACAGCCGTTCAGTCCCAAAGAAACACACAGAGGCTTACATTAATTATAAACTGGTTGGCCTATTAGCTTAGGCTTCTTATTAACTAACTCTTACATCATACATTAACCCATTATTCTTGTCTATGCTAGCTACGTGGCTTGGTACCTTATATCAGCGAGGCATTCTCATCTTGCTTCTTCTGTGTCTGAGTCACGAGTGTAGACTGAGCCTCTTCCCAGAATTCTCCTGCTCTGCTCACCCCACCTATACTTCCTGCCCGGCTACTGACCAATCAGCATTTATTAAACCGATATAACTGGCAAATTTTGCAGGGTTTGAGACTGTTGTCCCACAGCACCTGAAGAGATTTTCTGTCCAGGGACACGATGATAAATGATGTCTGGGGATTCTGTAGGGACCAAGAGCAATGGGTGTGGGGACTACTTAAGGAATTGTGGGACGGTGGCCGACAAGGCCTCGGGGTGGCAGTGGGTGGACTACAGGCCTCAGGCCGAGCCTCCTCTTGGGAGAGTTTGAGTAAAAACATTATAGAGTTTTCTAAGATGGTGGAAACATCACAACTGTTTTGTGTTTGCGTTGGCTCTTATCAAGGTAAATTTATCTACAGAAAAGGCCAAATTGTTTTGAGTCATGTTTGTTGCCAGCTGGTACTCTTCATCTGAAAATCTCCAAGCCCTGGGCTTGGTGACACATGGTTGAACTCTCACCATCTCGGCTCCTCCCCAAACAAATCCTCACAAAAGTGACTTATGTTAAGGCCAGCATGGATGTAGCTCCAAAAAGCTTGCGGGCACAAGGCTGGACTAAGGGCCAAAGACCCAGGGGACACCACCAATGCTCTTTCCTGCCAGTTCTAGGGCTAGCCGCCCTTTCAGGTCACACTGGCAGGGTTCAGCATCCTCGTCACCATCTGTGTCTGACACTCGTCACCACTGACACCTGCCCCTAGGTCTGTCCCAGTGCCATGTCAGTGGCCCAAGTCTCGGCTAAGTTCCCAACAAAAAATAGCTGCTGAGGAAGGTCTAAGAGATCTCATTTCCCACGTGTGCTCCTCCTGGTGCTCCTGTCTGCAGTGCTGTGAGCACCTGACTTCACTGACCCAGGAACTATGGTTTTGTCTTTAACGCCTTTGTCTATGTGATTATTTTCTGACCCATAAAATAGAGTTCAAGCGTTGTGTGGAGTTGGCTTTTTAACACTGCCTAGTTCAGACACTGTCTAGTTCTGTGAGCTAATGCTGAAAAGCTTTTGAAATTAGTATATTGTCCCTCAACTTAAGAAGGATTGGAAGCAGGAGTGGGATTTGATAAATATATTCAATTCACATTTTATCAGTCGTTTGAGCCACTGCCCCCTGACAGGCAGAACCTCAGTGATTAGGAGGGAGCAATGGGAAGGAAGGCAAACTTCTGCCCTGATGGGGAGCCTGTGTTCTGAGTGCTGGTGCTGACAATATCCTGGGCCCTTTGAAGTTCCTTTGAAGACTATTTACTCCTCCCCTCCTCCTCCCCCTTCACCTCCCCCTCCTCCTCCTCCTATTAATTTGGTTTTCCAAGCAGGGGTTCTCTGTGTAGCCCTTGCTGTCCTGGAGCTAGCTCTAATCCAGGCTGTCCTCAAACTCATAGAGATCCACTGGCCTCTGCCTCCTGACTGCTGGGATTAAAGGCTTACACCTCCACCATCCGGCTGGTTGCCCCATTTTTAATGATACCTTGTTCCGCTTGGATACTAAAATCCTTGGATTTAGGAAAGTGTAAAACTCCATAGAACTGATAGCTCCATGCTGTATATGATGATGTTTAATCTGATGACACAAGGTTAAGAAGAAAATGAAAGCTCTTCGAGAGGCAGAGGGTGGGTACCAGACTTCATGCGTACCTGCTCCCGGCCACAAACTTGTGTTTATCCAGTTTACAACAGCGACAGGATCCTGGAGATCCTGAACATAAGTAAGGGACTAATCACACCTGCAGGAAACAGGCAGAGAAGCCAGAGAGAAGGGCAACTCAGGGATGGCTGTGGGAGCCGATCTGAGGGCCTGTGACTCAGCCTCTGGGTTAGGAAATATCTTCCCGGCTAACCCGATTCTGAGTGGCAGCTGACGTGAGAGAATCTCATTGGGGGTTCAGTTTTGCTGAGTAAGGAGTGAGGAGGAGGGAAGCCAGAGCACTAGGTAGGTGCGGGGTGGCTTTCAGCCATAGATGTAGATGATAAAGGAGATGTTCCGGGTATAATAGGAAAT